AGGCCACCCTTTCATGCAGTATGCTTTCAGCATTCAGAACTCGCCGTCTGAAGTTTGGTGAGACCTGACGTCTTCAAGACGTACGGCCAGGGTTGAAGAAAGGGCTGCCACGACCAGAGACACAAAAATTTCTGAGCTGTCCTCTTCGGACGTGGGAGAGCCTTCGGGATCCCTAGAGAGGGTGTCTGCGGTGGCCAGGTACTTTCCTGGAACATACTTGACTGTGAACTGATATCGCACGAGCCTTATGCGAAATCTCTGGATGCGAGGGGGCATGAGGTCCAGATCGGCGGAACCAAGCAGCCTGACGAGCGGCTGATGGTCGGTTTCAACGACAAAGCTGAGTCCACGCAGGAATTTCTCAAACCTCTCGATAGCCCAAGAGACACCAAGCGCTTCTTTCTCAATCTGACTGTACCGCTGCTCAGCGGTAGTCAGTGCTCTTGACGCGAACGCGACAGCCCGTCGCTCTCCCGTCTGTTGCTCCTGCAAGAGAACCGCGCCTAGCCCAAACGAACTGGCATCTGCCGACACAAGGGTGGGTAGCTCTGGATTGTAGCTGGCCATACAAGCATTAGATGCCACCATTCCCTTCAATGTCTCGAAAGAGGTTGCTTGCGCATGGTCCCAGGTCCAGACCGCGTTCTTGTTCAACAGGAGTCGTATCGGTGTAGTGACAGCAGACAGGTTCGGTAAAAATCTTCCTATGTGGTTCAGCATGCCCAGGAAACGACGGACGCCATGCGTATCTGTCGGCGGCTTCATGTTCACAATAGCAGATACCTTGTCAGGGTCAGCCGAGATGCCACTGGCGCTCACCACTACACCAAGGAACTTGACGGAAGATACCCCGAAGGAGTATTTCGAGGCATTCAACGTAATGCCTGCTTGTTCTAACTTGCAAAAGACTGCTTGGAGTCTGCTGTCGTGCTCGGAACGGCTCCTGCCGAATACTAGAATGTCATCTACCATGTTCACACACCCTTCCAGGCCCTCTAGAATCCGAGACTTTTGGCGCTGAAATACTTCGGGAGCGGACGTGATGCCGAAGGGCAGGCGGCGGTAGCAGTAGCGTCCAAACGGTGTTATGAAGGTAGTCAGCTCCTGACAGCTTTCCGATAGCCTTACTTGACGAAACCCCGATTTTGCATCAAGTTTCGAGAAGACCGCGGCATTGCCAAGACGGCCAAGTACCTGGTCCACTGTGGGCATAAGGTGTCTCTCCCAAAGAACTACTTGGTTCAACTTCGTGAGGTCAACACAAATTCTGTATTCGCCATCGGCTTTGGGTACCAGCACAATACCAGCACACCACGGCGTTGGCACTGTGACTCGCCAGATGACCCCATCCCTTTCCATGGCATCTAAGTGCTTCTTGACTACGCCTTCAAGGGGAATAGGGATGTGCCTAGGAACGCTGAGAGAAAATGGAATCGCTCCCGGCTTGATACGAATGTGGTATTCTTCAGGCATCTCGCCAAGGCCTGAGAACAGTGAAGCTGCGGCCTTGTCTGACGTTGGGGGCCTATTCGGAACTTCCGCATCTTCCACGGTGTCAACAAACTGGACGACTCCCAGGTCCACTACCGCCGAGTACCCCAGCAGAGGAGAGTCAATGGCTGCTACAACGTACAACGTTTTGCATACCGACCGGCCTCGCCACGACAGGGTAGCAGGAAACGTCCCAAGCAACCTTAGGCGGCAGCGGCTTGGCCCCATCAACCGTTCATTATCGGGTTTGTCAAGGTCTACTGGGCATCCGGCGAAGCTCGGAGGTACGACCGAAACGTCCGCCCCAGTATCCACTTTGAATTGAAGGGGGCGTCCGTTGACATGAACAACAACGTGCCGGCGTTCTGTTTGCGAGGCATCCACGGCGCAGAGCTGGATTTGGCTTAAACCCCTAGTATTATTCGAGCGGCAAACCGCCGCGAAGTGTCCCTTCTTGCGACATTGGTTGCATGTGGCCCACCATGCTGGGCACTCAGATCGCGGATGAGGGGCGTGGCCACAAAAATCGCATGCCGACTTCGGGCCGGCGCGGTACTCGGGAGGCCGACAGACGTTACTTTTACTTCGGGCAGCTTCGCATGCTGGGGCGTCGGCCAATCGGTACTGGTTGTTCGCAACGGCGTCGACGTTCAGTGCGTCTGGTGCAAGGCCTGTCCCCTGACGCCGCAATTTCTCATTTTCAGCGTCTTCGTACTGTTGCACTTGGATGAGCGCCTCGTCCAGTGTAAGCTTTGGATTGCGGCAGAGCTGGTCGGTCAAGCGAGAGTCAAGCAAACCTACGATAAATCTGTCCCGAACCAGCCGGTCGTCGATTTCCCGAGAGGCGTAGTTGCACTTCTTCACGAGATTTCGGAGCGCCGTGAAAAACGCGTCGACTGACTCGCCTACCGCTTGCGTGCGCTTGTGGAACCTTCTCGACTCCTATACCTCGTTGACGGGGTGTACATAATATCCTGAAAGACTTGTTGTCACGCCGGAGTACGAGCGATAGGCCTCGGCGTCTGACATGAGAGACAAAAGCACCTCGCGACCTTGGGGACCCATACAGTAGAGGAGCGTGCATACCTTGGTTTCTTCGGGGGCGGAGGACAGTCCTGAGGCGAAGGAGTAATCCTCGAATTGTTGAAGCCACGCCGTCCATTGGGCTGGGTTGTCAAAAGTGAACTGCGGCGGAGTTCGCAATGTGAAGCTGGCGATCACGGCGGAGGCGGCGGCTGGGTTATCCTGCATGTTGCACGGTTGTCGCAGGATCCCACTTCTGACACCATGTAGTGACGTGCCTGGGTAGCGCGGATGCCGCTAGCCGAGCCCAAAGTGGGCGTGAAGCCCGTGAAGAATGACCCGACAACGCGTAGTTCACAAACAGCAAAAAGCCCCGTTTAATGCCCACCGATTCCTTTTATACAGAGTGGGGGCGCCACCTCCCAGTTACTAGAAGCAACAGGTGGCGTCCTCTACATACTAGGTGTCAAATTATTTTGGTGATATTTATAAAAAATATGGGTGCAATATTTTGGAATACACATATCTTTGCTCATATATTGAACAGATCAAAACTCCCATTTCATTGAATTTGCCATTAAGTGAAATACATATGAATAGCCTCTTAATACCATGCATATAACCTCACAATTAATTGATTCAGTTGGCAATTCACACCAGCTAGTTTTATAAATGACAAATAGCTCCTATTTATTGGTTCTATAGGCGACAAATACGCCTCACCTATTACAGCCTATGGGTACCAATACATACCAATAGCTGTCACCTATAGATACCAATACATATTTATTGGTCTGATAGGGCACAAATAGCTGTCTCCTATTGAACCCTAATGATGCCAATACATGTCTCTTGTTTCTATACGTGACGAATGCTACAACTTATAGGCACCTTATTGGTCTTGTCGGTGACAAATAGGTGTGGTCAATTGGTTTTTATTGGTGCCAATAGAATTTTAATAAGATCAACAAAGTCTCAATACAGCTCTTATATGACCAATAGGATTTGTCTATAGGACCAATACATTTCTCTATTACCACGCACTATACGGTGGTGAAGGCTTGCTGCTGTTCAGGTTTCATTTGATGCAGATAATACAAATGCCATTCTTTCTCGTCCAAAGGGAAGGAATTTTGAGTAGTAGCAGGATTTGAATTTTGGTATAATGCAACTGATAGCTTGTAAAACAAGTTATGTTTCCAAATTTACTATATATACTTAGAGCATATAAGCCTACGGTATAACAAGCTTTTAAACTTGAAAAATGATGAATTGATGCAAGGATAGCTTAATCTTTAAGTGTGGCTTCATGGCAGTGTGGTTTTCCTCTTGATAAATGTACTCACAAAACAGCACCTCTCCACTGCAGTGAGACCACCTTTACAGGATGGTTACATGCAGACTAATATACACCCTTTCGATCATTTTCAATGCTTTGAAATTTCTCATGATTTAAGTTCAAATTAAAATGACTTCGAATATATGGGGCACTCAAATATTCTAACAAGATAAGTTTCTCTAGAAATAATGAATTTTCAAAGTGTTCAGTACTGGGGCGTAGTAAAATGAACACGGACAGGTGCAAATACTTGCTACAGCCTACACTGACACGAAGGTTTTCATAAATAATGTTGCCAATAATGTAAAGCATTAAGCAAGCGTGCTAAAGGGTACATGCAAAGCATTAAGATGGGTTAGAAAGTAGCTAATTGTGCTGCTTTTAATTCTTCACTTTATACTGCTTACATTTTTCTATATTGTCCAAAAACGAATGCTTAGAGTCCAGGTTATTATAATGGCCACACATGTCTTGGCATGATGGTGAATCCTGCACATGTCTTGACTTGGCTATATTCAGTATGTTCCACACTGTGCATGCAATAACCCCTTTAGCGGCAGTGTGTTCGATTTCGAAGATATGTCAATCATCGCGTGGTTCTTCAAATGGCTAGAAATGCACTGTGCACATTTGTGCAGGCTTCCTGAGTAAATAATCAATGGTCATTTAACTTCTATGTGCTGCATATTGCTGCAAAGGATCACTTTGCTGGAGACACTACCATGCTCGACGATCATTCCATGTGTCGCATTCCAGGACCAGCGTCAAAAGTTTTCTTCGCTCAAAACTAATAAAACCAAAAAACAAACTGTGCATGCACTTGGGCCTAATGTTTGATTCCTTTCATACAAGAATTGAAGCCAACTGATTTCAGAACAATCAGATATTAATTTACATGCTAATAAACATTAATTACTGAATCTCATACAAAACAGCACACTCCTTCCTTTTCTTTCTTGGAGCATAATACTGGGAGCCTTGAAATCATGCCATGAAAATTTTACACATTTGCAGACAGTGAATTATATTTCACATATGGAGGGGATGAACGCCCAAACAATACCAAGATCTATACTTGCTTTGAACAATCTGAGTAGACATTTGCGCCCTGAAACAGGACTTGTAAAAAGTAGTAGTGGCGGCTCACCATTTCTGGCACTTTCCAGGAGTGTCTTGTATGGGAGATAGATGGAATCCCCTGAATCTGACCAGGATGTTCCTCGAACGATAGATGGGTCTGGAAATGTCATGTCTGTGACACTCTGAATGCTCTGGACCTTGACAGTTGCCACTGAAAAGAAAAAAAAACACACGGTTAGGCTTACAAAGTTGGCTGTAAGAAAAGAAATGAAAACATAAAGCTTACATTACAATTACTTTTAATAACATCCTCTATACTTTCTTTGGCTCATCGTCTGCTAGTTCTCAATAATATTGTGTCTAATAAAAAATGAGTCGTTAAAATTTCCCTTAGCTTCTTTTCTCCTTTTCAATGGAATATGACATTCCACTAATGTTGAGCACTGGACTAGTTGGTACAGCCTAATTTCAATGTTTCACAGCACATGGAACAAGGAAGAACAATGAGGGGACACAAAGAACGTTAATTTCGCTGTTCTAAGTGTCTCCTCCTTGTTTGTCCTCGTTGCATGTGCCGTTTGTCCTCGTTGCATGTGCCGTAAAACATGGAAATTATGGCACAACAAATGTGCAGCTAAGGAAGGAACCGAGCAACGTCAAAGCTCACTGATGTTATTCTGGAGGCGGCTGTAGTTGAGGTTGGTGCTGTGGCTTTTCACCATGAGCATGGCATTACGTTCGAGCCCCTCAAGGAGTGACGAGGCAGCTGCCCTCTGCTCCATGGGCGGCAGGTCGGCCCACGCACCAGCTTGGTGGCGCTCCAGAAGGTTGCTGCTGAAGTCCACTACCGACTGTGAGGGGGAGAAAGCACATCTTTTAAAATCGAAGAAATCATAGAAAACGAAGAACAACCGAGAGACAGACAGTGACACAGAGGATGTTTACTAGAACGTTTTGTTGCGCTAGTTGGTTCATGCTAACGAAACGTTAAGGACGCGACACACACACAGACAAAAAAGGAAGGGGACTGGGTAGAGCACCAACTTGCAACTAAATTTATTTGAAAGGTGTGCTAGCTTTCAATAAAAAATAAGACCAGTGCTCATTTAGCTACGCACTGTGAATTCTTCATGTGGGGGCCAGACCTTACCAGACCAGAGTAGTCTCTTCATAAGAGAACTTAAAGGATAAATATGTTCCATTTAACAGGAGTTCTGTACACCAAGAGATAATGAACAAGGATACAGTATTCAGGGACGAAACTAATCACATCAGAGGCAGCTGTTCCATTTAAGCAGTGTTCCTTTTACAGAGAGTTTACTGTATTCGCATGAAGGGGCAAAAGCATTGTGGCACGTTGACTTTTGAAGGCTTATATTATAAATGTAAAACGAATTGTGAGTATCAAAGACATGGCTGTTACCCTCTGTGAAGCAGACGCACAATTTTCCAACATCATGATGTCATTAGTGTGGGATGTCCATAAAAGTTCTCTACGAGATTCCCCTGAGCTGTAAGACAAACTAAACGGTGTATTAATGACCGCCTATAGGAGCACGTAAATAGTGTAAAAAAGCACAGCCGGTGCACATTTTCATTATAAATGTAAAACGAATTGTGAGTATCAAAGACATGGCTGTTACCCTCTGTGAAGCAGACGCACAATTTTCCAACATCATGATGTCATTAGTGTGGGATGTCCATAAAAGTTCTCTACGAGATTCCCCTGAGCTGTAAGACAAACTAAACGGTGTATTAATGACCGCCTATAGGAGCACGTAAATAGTGTAAAAAAGCACAGCCGGTGCACATCTTCCAGGGCATTTAAGTCATGCTCATGTGTGCCGCGTTTCGCACAAGTCAAGGTTATAGGCAAGAGCAGGGGTCAAATGGCCAGGGAGCTATTACAAGCGTTTAACATTAGAGGGAAGTGGTCCACCTGTGTCAGCGACACATCAATAGTGCTATATGAATCTGAGTTATGCTTTTTTAATACACGGCTTTCTGGTTGACGTGTATGTCCTCACTTCTTCACGCATCTGCACATGCTCAGAAGTTTTCTTGGCTCAATAAACAGTTGGTAGTTGGTGCTCATGTCTTTCTTCCTTTCCCCGTCTTAATGTTCCAAGCTTTGTGCCACATAAAATATGTTGCTCATAACTATAGCTTTATGCATATTAATTTCAGACCTACTCTTCTATTTTCGTGTACAGCTCAGTAATTGTAAGCTGCAATTATTCCCCTGAGTTACTCATTAAGCAATGTCCCCACCAAATCGCAGGTTACCAAGATACTCTCCACTAACTCTTATCCCTAACTCTTCCCAAGTGAGTGAGTGAGTGAGCAAACTTTATTTAACTAGCGGACTGAGGCGTGGGCCTAAGCCACGCCAGGGGCGGTGGAGAGACCCTGTCTCTCAGCCGCCTCCCGTGCTCGCTGTATGGCCCATATTTGATCTGTCCGATCTGAGCTGATCAGCGCGGCTCTCCACCGCGCCCCAAGCTGTTCTGGGGAGACTGCATTGGCGTCCTGTATCTGTGTGCATTCCCACAACATAAGCTCTAAGGTGGCGCGTCTCATGCTACATAGCTTACATGAGTCATCTGAATATAGTTCGGGGTAGATGCGATTTAGGTGCTTCGTGTTGGGAAATGTTGTAGTTTGAAGTCGCCCCCGATCAACCTCCTGAGATCTGTCTATGTGGAGCTACGTGGTGGAAATCTGCACCTCGACTTTTGGTAGAATTGGATAATGTCGCAGAACCTAAACATTCTGTCCCTCTCCCACCACTCCTCTCCTCCCAGTACCTCATTTGAAGCTCCATCGCGAGTGCGGTAAGTGAGACCTCGCGCTACGCGGCGAGCCTCCTCGTTGAGGTTGGGAATGAGGGACGCACACGGGGTGTGGGCTGGGAACCATATAATATACCTTTCTTCGAATTCCTCGGATGATATGAGATTTGCCTTGCGGAAGAGTATGTTGGCTGCCTTGGGAGATATTCTTCCTCGTGCATAGTTACGGATTGCCGACTGCGAGTCGCTGATGACATACTTTGGGGAAATTATGGCCTGTGCAATAGCCACCTCTTCCGCGATTTCTGAATTATCCGAGCGTATGGAGCATGCGTTTACGCATTTGCGGTCAGTGTTTATCACTGCCGCAACGTAGGATTTGTGACTAGGGTACTCTGTTGCGTCTACAAACATTGCCTCCTTGTCTCTGCCGTAGGCCTTAAGTAGAGTTCTAGCACGGCTTTCTCTTCTGCCCTGATTAAGTTCGGGGTGCATGTTTTTGGGCAGATTGGGGACCTGGATCTTTTCCCTGATCCCCTTTAGAACCGACACTTTACTTCCTTGTTGCCTATGGTAATTTATCCCCAACTTCGATGGGGATACACCGTCCTGTGCGGGTGTTGGCTAGTCTCTCCAACTGGGCAATCTGTTGCGCTTCTATCAGCTCCTCTAAAGTGTTTTGTAAGCCCAGTTGAAACAGTTTTTCGTTGCTGGTGCTATCTAGAAGGCCTAAAGCTTGTTTGTACGCCTTTCGTATGAGTGCGTTGATTTTGAGTTTTTCGGCTGTATACCAGTTTAGATATGCCGCTATGTATATAATATGACTTATGGCATATGAATAAATAAGCCTGATGATGTTAGCCTCTTTCATGCCCTGGTGTTTGTTTGTGACTCTCTTGATTAGCCGTATTGCGTTGGTCACTTTGGTTACTAACCTCTTGACGGTTTCCCCGTTTGTACCCTTAGACTCGATGATTTTTATTTATTTATTCAATACTGTGGGCCTTTTCAGGCCTATACAGGAGAGGGCGTACAAAGCAAATAACACTTCATATCGCAAAGAAAGATAACGATATAACAGTATAAAGCAATAAATGAACAATGATGAGTCCAAAAACTCTGATTTGTTGCACTATAGAAATAGTCCTGCCGTTTTTGGTGTGAATTTGGATCTCTTCGTAAGCACGGTCCCGGTTGTATCCTTTGGGTGGTCTGCCTTTAAGCGTGGGGTGATAGAGGAGGAGTTCGGATTTATCTGGCGAGCACTCGAGGCCAGTACCTTCAAGATACTCCTCAATAGTGGTGACGGCCTCCTGTAGTCTCTGCTTTATCACTCCGTCACTACTTTCACATGCCCAGGTGGTGATATCATCGGCATATATAGAATGATGTATTCCGTATATTGAGTTCAGCCGCGCCGGGAGTCCTATCATTATGAGATTAACTAGCATTGGCGATATGACCGAACCCTGCGGGGTACTAGCACTGCCCATAAGCCTTTCCTCAGATCTCAGTTCTCCCATTACGATGGATGCCGTTCTGTCTGTTAGGAAGTCCTCGACATAGTTATACGCTCTCGATCCTAAGCTTAATTGGCAGATCTGATTTAATATTGCCGTATGCGATGCTTTGTCGAAGGCTTTTTCAAGGTCTAATCCTAAGATCGCCCGGGTAGCTCTTGTTTTGTTGGCTAGAATCTGCTGCTTAATTTGCAGCATGGCGTCTTGCGTGGAGAGCCGTGTGCGGAACCCCAACATAAAATCTGGGCAGATTTCGTTCTCCTCACGATAAGTGTTGATTCTGTCTAGAAAAGCGTGTTCCATCAGCTTCCCAGCACAAGACGTTAGTGATATGGGGCGTAAATTCGATAGATCGGGGGGTTTCCCGGGCTTGGGGATGAGGATTACTTTAGCTTTTTTTTTTACACTGTTTTGGTATAGTGCCCTCCGTCCAGCACTCGTTAATATATTGCGTGATGTTCTTTATGGCTTGGTCGTCAAGGTTCCGTAGTGTTCTGTTAGTGATCCCGTCTGGTCCCGGTGCAGATTTGGTGTTTAGCTTCTGTAGCGCAGCCCTGATTTTTGCCACAGTAAACTCCTCATCTAAGAGCTCGTTCGGGCGTCTGGAATATGGTCCGTGCTCTATGACAGGCATGGCGGGAATGTACGTGTTGCTAGCCTCAGCGATAAAGTCCTCACTGCCGTTATACCGGTGCACCAGTTTACGCAAGGTTTGCTTGTGTGCTGATTTGGTGTTATCTGGGTCTAGCAGGTGTTTGAGCATGCGCCATGTCTGACCAGCATTCATTTGGCCATCGAGGCTACTACAAACTTGGTCCCATTGCTGTTTGCTTAGCTGCTTACAATGTTCTTCGATCTGTTTGTTCAGCTTGGCTATGCGCTTGCACAAGGGCCTGTTGTGCTTCTGTACCCGCCATCTATTCTGCAGTGATGCTTGGCCTCCCACATGTGTGCGAGATGGCTATCAATCTGCTCTAGGGGTGGACTTGAAGTGAAACTTCGCGTTGCCTCGCTGACGTCGTTATTGGCATCTTTGATCCAATCTTCAATATTGCTGATAGGGTCTTGTTCTTTCGCGTTTCTGACTTTCCGAAACTTATCCCAGTCAGTCCATCTAATCTGTTTCTGAATTTCTGCGGCAGCCATGGTTTCTATCCTGATTTCTAATATTCGATGATCACTCCCCAGATGATCGAAAGTGTTTTTCCATTTAGCGGTCCCCACGTTACGAACTAACGTTAAGTCTGGAGTGGTGTCTCTTGCAAGCCCAGTTTCCATACGCGTAGAGAAGTTGGGGTCAGTGATGAGAGTTAAGCCTGTTTCTTGAATATCCTGCCATAGCGTTTTTCCTTTGGCTCTTGTGTATCCGTATCCCCAAACACTGTGTGGAGCATTAAAGTCTCCACCTATGACGAGTAGATTGGGTCCCGCTATATCTACGACCTTCTTAAAGAGAAGAAGGAAGCGTTGCCGTATGCGTGTGGGATTGCTGTACAAATTCAGAATAAATATGTTCGGAGATTTTTTTTCTTGTAGGGA